TGCATGCAATTGAAATAATTTTAAATGAAAATTGAACAGATTCACATAAGATGTTCCATTTGAAATTTCTTAAAACTACTAGGACTAGAAACTTTGGTAGTGTGTTACTAATGATCCGCGCGTCTATCTTAGCCGGGCTGAAGTTGGCTTTCCGAGACATTAGCACATATACAAACGCTGGTCGATAGAGATATGCCACTTTATATTCGCTCTCCTAAGATTTCTTAGCGAAACTGTTTGTTTTCTCTATATCGATTATAGAATAAATGGAAAATCTTTATATAATTTTATATAATAATGATTTTTAATTTATTCTGACGAAAATATCTTTATGTATTTCAATAAAATAATAATCTCTAAGTACTAAGTCTAATACATTAAAATTATGTTTGCTTGTCTATTTGTATTATATACGATGCTATACAGTTCATCAAACTTTGTCAACTTACTGCTTGCATTTGCACGAAGGTTATAGGCATAGTACAATTATTTATTCTGCGGTAGCAACACGCCGGGTATTAGCTAGTATCTACTTTATTATTTTTATTAGTAGTAAAGAATTACGATATACAGTTTGAATATATAGTAAATACGCGATATTAACGATGACAACAAATCCTTTCAATAACCCCAAAATAATATAACTTTAAATTTTTCTGTAAAATCTTCAATGCACATAATCATAATCACTGTATTTAAAACGACATCTTGCATTTACACACCATAATCGATAATAACGATAATCGATTATTTACTTGTAACCGCGCAACAAGCGTATTCGCATCTCTAGTTTTAGTTAACACCCGTCTTCTCCTCTTGTCACTATTTTGTTCCTAAAAACTATAAATCTGCGCAGCCACTCACGACTAACATCAGCCCGGCCAAGATAGAACGCGCGCACATTATTTTCATTTTTATTGAAGTGTAAATAAAATTTTAATTAATTTAATCTCCGTCGGCATTGTATGATCAGATTATATCGTTTATAAAGGGCTGTCGAAGGAAATGCTAGCTACATACTATATTGGTGATGCGATCCGCAGAGAAATTTCTTATTTTTAATTTCTTTTGATTACAAACGCATTGCAAATATAGATATGGAAACATGTAGAGACGGCTTTAGGCTTCAGTGCCTACGAATGCGGAGCGTCACCAGACTAAGGAATAATTATCCTGTCGAACAATGAGCATTAATTTGTATATTATTTTGATCCACAAACATCTCCGCCGTGGACAGCCCTGGTTAATAACAAACTTAAAACATTAGTTAAAACAGTAGTGTGAATAGATACACTTTGCAATTTCAAAATGTTTAGATCGTCCTCCTTAAGGGAAATATAATTTATGGTGAACCTTCAATGTAAAATAAGATTTCATTCATGCTTTATTACTTTTCACAAAAGGCAATAATTTTCTTTTTGGAGAACTATAATTAACACTATATACACATACTGTGTACATTTAAAGCACCTAAGTACTTACATTTATACATTTAAAGCAATTGCACTTGGACTGATTTCCGAGCAGTGCGAAGATCTGAAGCGATTTTTAAAATATAACATTAATTCCCCACTGCCCTGAAGTCAGCCTTATAAATAGCCTTATATCCACATTGAATGAAACTTGTTTTAATAGATTTTACCGCATTTAATAAACTTATTAGGTATATATTTCCAGCGTTTTGAGTACAATACGTTTCGAGTAAAAAATAGTTTCATTCAATGTGAAGTGTTTGCGTAAATATAAGAAACCAATTGTAACAAATTCTTCTAATAATGTTATCGAATTAAGAGACAATACTTAAATCTAATTACAGAATGTTTACTCCGGATTATAAGATGCTATCCTCCACCCTCCTGTTTATCTAGCATCTTAGCAACGATAGATAATAATGTAACGTAATAAATAGTCAAGTAATTCACATAAAACTCCATATTTCTGTTATATTTTTCTGAGTAGTAAATAAATAACAGGTCGCTTCAAATTATAGACAGATATTAAGACTTTTGATAAGAAGGTAAACGATCAATACAGACAAAGGGAATAAAACTCAAATTTTAAATAAGATGTAAAAGCCCTTTAAAAAGCAAAAAAATACTAAAAAGCAAAGCTTCTGAAGTTGTGTTTTAAATCTCCTATAAAGATGGATAGAAGATTTAAATCGACGACTTCAGAAGCTATAAATGTGTGCAAATTATTTTTTCTGTTTAATTTTTGAAATACTCTTAATTAATTTTTTTATTTTTTCTTTGACCCTTTGGGATTGGACTAAAGAATATCACAATAATAATGTAGTAGGGTAAAACTAAAATTTCATCTAAAATAATCACATCAACACTTTACTTATAGCCTATTTTCCCATACTTAGGGATTGAACTTTTTTCTTTAATTTTTTATGGAACATTTTAGCTACACGATACAACGAAATATAATTTTTATTGATTCAGAAATAATTTGAATAGCAATTGCTTTAAATAAGGTTGTTTATTTCACAAATTATTTTTAAAACAATGAAAACGGTTAAAATATTTAAATGGTGTATAGTGAAAAATGTTAGTACCTAGCAATGTTTTGATATTGTGTTTTGTGGTAAGAAAATCTAAAGCAAGTAGTTTCGTTCGCTTGAAGGGTATTTAGTAAATTGTATTGTGGTAGTCAATAAATTTAAAAAAAGTGTGTATTAAAAACCAGACAAAACTAAGTAAGAGTGTAAAATAATAATATGTCATTAGTAATATGCACATCGCACAATAACTGAGTAAAAGTCACCAATATAATTGAATAAATATTACTTATTATTTGTGTAGATACTGTAAACATACAGCTTGATGCAGGACCATAACGTAACATCTATTCATTGACTAAACAATAAAGATTAATTAAGGCTTCAATAATATTTACACAAAACGATAAAGTAAACTATACATACATTACATTATACAAAATTATTTTGAATAAGATTTGCCATAATATCTTACTATAAATATATTGCTCAATAGCTGCTTTAACTCTTTTTTTACATTTTTGACAAATATCGAACATGTTAGGAGGATATCCGTTCGGCGATTAGTTATTAGTTATGCTCTGATTTCTTCTTGGATAATGACACTAGGGATAATATTTTTACGATACAATGTATATATGCAACTGTCGCGTTTCTGTTTTTTTCTGTACATTTATTACTTTAACAACTTAACAACAAAAAATAAATTTTCCAGTTATACCCAGCAAACAAATATAACAATAAAAAATAAAAGAAAAATATTGTTCTCGAGAAAAGAAAATGGACCGATTTTTGTTCATTTTCTTTTAAAAACCTATTCTTCTAGATTTTTCAAATGTCTTGTCGCCCAGGTATCATCTTAAAACAACTTTTATTAAACATATGTATTTGGAATGTTACTCAATATGTTACTCAAAACTTAGGTTATAAATTATAATCAATAAATAAATCTAACTAACAAATCATACATTCTATCAAGTGATTGTTTTTTTTACATCACACAACGAGAAAAGAGTGGACATGACTACTCTTACAATTTGAACATACTTTCCAAGACAACCAAACATGCCAAAACACTAACAGAATATATAGAAATAATTTATTGACATCTTTGTTCTCTACTGTCTCGATACTAGTAGCGTGTGAATGCGCAGACAGTATAAGGTAGTCGGACCAATAGATGAATCCCCCTGGTAGATGAACGGAACGAACTTTTTTTAATTTTAAGAATTGAGTGATGCCTTACCTGCAGTGGCATACGTTTTTTGAAGCGGCAACACTACCTTTCATTAATAACCAATAAACCGTCACGCAACAGGCAGTCGCGCTCTAGGAGCTCATTCAGTATGGAGAACGAGCTAAGGTGAGTTTACCAGTTTCTTAAGCTTATGAGTGGACTGCCGATTCGTTGATATTATTAGGCTCCAATTATTTGATTCTTTGCAATTAAGACTATTTTCTCAAGTAAAAAGTCAAGATTTTATGTCTCTTTTTTAGATCAGTAATTGAACATTAAATTTCTCGAAAACCTTATGGTCTTTATTTGTGAACCAGTGTTCAGAATTAACTCTGCCCTGTAAATTTTGTTTTGATATTGCAGATTGTATCTTTGATTTTTGATTGATGTTTTACGTTTTTCTTAATTCCTTTGAATACATAGTTCTATAAACCAAAACATGAACAGAGTTTAATTACAGAAAAATTGTTGTTTTCACATGTTGTTACTTCAGCTGTTAATGATTATTCCAAACGTTGCATTTGTGAACTAAGAATTTTATTGGTTTATAATTAGGACTTCAAAACCTAATTACGAGTATGAACCAATAATGGTTTTGACAATGTTCCAATAAAATTGTTGTGTATTTTTATTAGGGTTATGAGGGTATTGTGATTAAAAGTAAACCAATTTCGTTGGCCTAACAAATTGTTGTTTTGATATAAATATTTCAAATACATAGGTACCTACTTACTTAGCTTTTATAAAAAGGGATCAGTAGTGAAATAATAACCTGAAATTTAAATGGTTTTAGGACTAAATTAATAATTTATTAAAATAATAACGACATTAAATAGTTTAATGGATTAACGGACAAATTACTATTTGATAAATGTGCTCCTAAAATGCTAGTCTCCTCATCTATGTAGACTTAATTGAGATCGATTATGTAGATAATAAGTACCTATTTTATATGTTTCAGATATCAGCTAACGAGAGAGCTGCGTCAACAAATATATATACTCAAGTACATTTAGAGCGCGCGGTAAAACATATCAAACAAAATCAAATATTAAGCTTAAGCAAAGCTAGTAAAATATATCGTATACCCAAAGGAATATTACACAATAAAGTAAATTGCAAAGTACCAGTAGATGCAAAAAAGTCACCAAAACGTTTTTAACCGATCGGTTAAAAACGTTTTGGTCACTTTTTTGCATAAATCTAGTTTAGGGTATCCATTGCATTTATGATGTAAAATGTATGGTACATTCATTTTAGCCTCTTCTGCATGCGGAAAAAACAGTTTCAAGTGGTTTACCCGGAGAAAAATTGATGAAATTGTTCCTTAAAAGACATCCGCAAACTACTAAACGGACAGAAGAAGTAATTTCAAGAGCACGACTTGCAGTGACTGAAGAGTCTCTCAAAAATTGGTTTAATGAAGTCCATGAGCATCTTGAGTCCGAAAATCAACTAGAATTCCTAAATGATGCTACAAGAGTATTCAATCTTGATGAAACAGGTGTGCAACTTTGGTCAAAAACTGCTAAAAATTCTTGCTCTGAAAAATTATTGTAATTCTTTTGATTTTGCGTCAGGAAAATAAAAAGAGTCTGACCGAGTACTGTGCAACTTCTCAGCAGACGGAACTAATACTTCGCCTTTCATAATTTTTCCGGGAAAATAGCTTTCAAAGGACCTTACAAACAAAGTTCCGGAACACTGGATTATTGTGTGAACTGACTCAGGCTGGATGGTGGGAGCTACTTTTGACGAATATATGAAAAATGTATTCCACCTATGGCTAGTCAAAAACAAAATTAAATTACCGATGATCGTTTTATGGATGGTAATAAATCTCACGTTGGCTTGTCACTCTACGAGTTTCGCGCAGAAAATAAAATCATTCTGTATTGCCCACATCCAAATGCTACACACTTGATACAGCCATGCGATGTATCGATCTTCAAAGCAGTGAAAGTAAAATGGCGAAAAGACGTTAGTAAGTATAAGCATGAAACCCAAAAAAGCTTAACAAAAGCCGCGTTCCCGGCACATTCAAAATCATTTGAGAAATAGGTTAATCCGGCTATCATTAAGAATGGTTTCCGCAGATGCTCTTTCCGTTTGACAAAACGCAGTTGATTACACAAAATGCATGTCGAATAGGTTGAAAGAAATCCGGAACAAGAAGCTAACCCATGCTGTCAATATTGATGACTATTTTTCCACTAATAAAGTATTGGAAAACGAAATCGAACCAGAATTGAAAGAAGATTTTGTTGAAGCTAGAAAAAAAACAGAATTATGAACATCGCTTATTTAAGCTCTGGAATTTTTTTATAGGATAGGGTGACAAACAAGCGCACAGTTCACCTGATGGTAAGTGGTTGCTATGGCCCATAGACATCTACATCAGTCCTCGATTACGAATCAAAATGCAAATGAGTTGTCACCCGCGAGGACTTAGATGGAATGTCTCGTTTCCAGTAAAAAGGGTCTCCGGTTTTCTACACTCATCATACGAAACACAGCAGCATTAAGCTACTATTTGACGGAATTAGCGCAGGGAAGAAGTTGAATACCTTAGTGATCAAGATTATCATTCACTTTCGAGCGAACAAGCGTCTAGATTGGAGGTCGAGGTCGATGGCGACGCAGTTGACAGAAGCATCAACAATACACAACCTGTACAAAATGTTACAGAATAAGCTTCGATCGAGGATCTAAATATTGACATGGTAGATACATTCATGATTCCGTCGAGTTGTGCACAGTTTGATGGATAATATGAGTAATTTTCATCAGGTGAGCCGCATGCTCGTTTGCTCTTCTATAAAAAAAATGCTAGGATCACCACCAATTATTTCAACCCCCATCGACTTCAATGAAAGCACTAACCTATGTCCAGAAAAGCAGTAAGACCGAACCCAAGCTCGGGTCACAATGCAGATTGAAAAAACATCAGTCGCATCTCAAGTTACGAAAACTGAAAAACAATGATCTCTCCCGGATATGTATATCTACTTGCTATACTATTGCCATGGTACCCACAATCTGTTAGTGTAAATGAAGAAATACCGATTGCTCTTGCTGTACACACCTTAAACTTGAATTCTCTGCCAAGTACATCATCATCAGAAACATTTACTTAGCCTTAATCAAGAAATACAGCCACAAATCGTTTATCACCTAAAAAAGACTAAGACCAAAATTGATGATTTTCTTACTATACCAAAGTTTTGCAGTAAAGCTTCAGTAACAAAAACGAACAAGCGGCACACCTATGCCATTAGCAATAACATAGAAACGTTTTAAAGAATACATGGATGAAAAAAAAGTTGAAAAGAAGGAACATGAAGCTAAACAAAAAAGAAAATAGAAAGAGAAACGAAGAAGAATATCAAGTTGATATATCAACAGATATTCAAGGTGAATAGAACCTTTGTTTTACCTACGAATACACTGCAAAAGAAAAATAAATCCTGTAATATAAATGATGTTCAAACAAAAACAAAGCCTAAAACAGAGCAAATTGCAGGTGAAATAAATCGAAATTATTTTAATTCTGGTGAAGTTAGTGTTGGTGACTATGCATATGTCACATTTGAAACCAATAAACGACCAAGGCATTATGTGGATGTGGTTAAGAAGATCAACAATAAAGACAACAAAATAAAAGTTGATTATCTGCGCAGTCTAGCAAGTTTGACAACAAATGTATTTCGTGGAACCAGATGTAAAAGATGTCAGTGCGATTTTTTTAAGACATTAAATACATATTATCAAAACCTCAAATTGCCAGAAGAAGAAGAGGAATTTTGAACTTTGATTGCCAGGACATTGAAAAAATTGTATTACATTTGCTGTTAATAGAACAGGATCAAGAATAAATTCGTAGATATCATTTCAAAATTTGATTAGTTAGGCAAAACCTGAATTAAATTAAAATTAAGTACTCAATTAGGTATACTTATACTTTTACCTACCTGCAATGTCAAAAAAACTATTTCGTGTATTTCATTCAGAGTTATAAATGAATCGTCAAAACCGCAAAATATATGTACGTGACCTACATACATTAATATTGTTTTGTGCACTTCTATAGACTAAATACAAAATTAGCTTTAACTCAAATAAAATATATGGTGTATGACGTACCTTAAGGTTATAGTAGGTATATTATAGGTTAAAACTTAGGTTTCTTGCTTAATTTTTGATGTTTTTTAAAATAAAAAGTATGATTGGATTGGAATTACTTCGTGGACTGAATTTTACTACTAAACAGTTAAAATTAAGTAAGTATTATATGCAGACTGATTGTTAATGTTTTAGATTATTTAGTATTACTGTCAGCCAAAAGTTTATAGTCTCAAACTCCTGTATTAAAATAACCCTTAGATGTATTTTCATACGGAACCCTACTTGTTTACTATTAAGTAATTAATTATTTTTAGTAACTACACAAGAAACTTCATAACTGTCATAATAATGTCTGAGGTAATATATCTCACGATGCTTATTTACTAATAATTAATATAATGTTTATATATAGAATTTTGCCTTTCATTTTCTTAGTTTACTTTTGTTTATGTTTGTTCATAATTAGTTCCAAACCGTTCACAATTGGGGCCTAAAACACACATATTTTCACAATTGTAACATTCTTTGAAGTAATTTAGAGTAAAAACAGCTGAACTAGTTCATGTAGCATTTATCTATCTAATTATACAACCAAAAACATTGAATATTCATTGTATTGGCGATTACATAAAAAAATAAAACATTGAATTCCGCTTAGCCGTTCATGTATTGGTCCAACGACCCTAATATAGCGGAATGTGTGCAACGATAGTTATATATTAATATATAAATACTATAAAATAGGTGCACTCTTATATTAATTTATAGTCCATCTAAACAACAATATTACATCACTATTAAATATGAATTTTACAGCGAGTGGTCATTTAAAATAAAGTTAAATCCAAATATACAAAAAATATACATTATCAGTTTTACGTGTAATGTGCTCTTGTTGCTTTATATATAATATTTTCAAAGTCAAAAAGCTACTACTCCAAATCGTTCAATTTCATTAGTTGCCTGTAAAGAAAAAATCGAGTCAATTACCAAATACATTGTAGTAGATTCTTCTAACACGCTAATCCTGTCACAAATGCTTACCTGCAATATTCCTGTGGTAATGTCAGTGTTTTATACCACAGAAGGATATTTAAAAATACGCTCCATGTCCGTAACGGTCCAAATAAAAATGCCATCGTACCATATTCAAGCCAGTAAAAGTATGCCAACAGAAGCTGTATTGACAGCAAAAATACAAAAGGTAAATTCTTTAACAATCGTTTCATTCCTCTAATATTTTGTCCGAATAGGCGCATTTCTAGGCAATATGCCAATACGAAAACTAGAGGTATATGTACGAACAATAACTGCACGCTTCCATACATATATGTGAATGGTTCCGGTAAATATGAGCCTTTTATCAAAATGCCCCAAGCAAAGACTACGCCAATGTACCCATCTATGAGCTCTCCAATGATCCACGGTCCGAATGGAATGTAAAGGGCATATAAAATAAGAGGATAGAATATTCTATCTATCTTAGTCAATAACCAGATTCTGCGAAGAATTCTTTGAGCGATTTTTCTTCGATATTTTGGCGGTCTTTTTTGCATTCTTAAAACAAGTAATGGCAATATGTTAAGCATTAATAACATTCCAAATATTGTCTGAAACTAAAATTAAAACATTTGTTGTTTCAAATATGTCTATAACACGCATTAAGTAATTTATCACATGTCACCTGATCACACTTACCACAGTACCAGCATCAAGCATAAGTAAAATTCTTGGTGTAATGTTGAACTTTAAATTTGATCCGTCTAAAGAAAATGGATGCTCAACAATAACTTTCCTGCCAATTTCATCCATGGCTAGGACATGTAAATAGTGCACACCACTTTCAAAAACATATGGTTGCCATTCACACACATACAAAGGCTTTTCACTAAGCTTACAATTCATCCAATTTATTTGGTCAAAAGATATCTGTACAGTGTCTATATTTACATCACTAAAGGCCAGTATTCTTATATGTGATGATTCAAGAATCAAATGTAACGGTTCTCTCCCTGGCATGACGTATTGTGCATGTTTTGGATTAGTTATTAATACAACTGGCCAAGTAATATGTTTTTGGTCCACGAAAGAAAAAATACCATGATCGATAGCTGCTAAACGGTACATGCGGTTGTCTTTCCAATCACCTAATTCAAGTTCTAAAAAGCCGCTTTGTTGTAGGGTATACATACGTGGTACTAATCCTCCCATGGCATGAAGATGGCCACATACATACGCTTGTGATCCTTTACTATTGCCGATAAACTGGCGTATATTCAATCTCTGGGAATCCTTTTCTAATGACAAGATACATGATGTAGGATAGTGACCAAACCACACAATATGATCTGCACTTGCCTCGGCTTCTAATTTTAGTTTCTGTAGGTGTTGTTGCTCTGAGATATCGAGAATGCCAATAAAATTAAACGGTCTACGGATCCCAGGATCTGGACAGGCATCAATGCCTATAAAAGCAACATGTAAACCATTTCTATTCAAAATGTGTACGTACGATTTTGGATGAGTCACACCCTGTACTGAATAGTTTCTAAAATAATTTTCTTGAGCATTTATCGTTCTAATGTTGAAATTATCTGTAAAATTAATAAATAATACTGCATGCAATATTTATAAGACAATGACAAATACTTATAGATTAAATTATTATTACTAGCAACAAGAAAAGTATATGTCTACGTATAACAGTGGTACGCGGCAGCCTTTGCAAGTACGGTCGGCTCAAACGGGGTGGTATCACTACCTCCCAGAATACCGGCGTAAAGGGGAAGCTCTGCGGCCGCGTTTCGTCTGGTGAGTACAGGTGGCTGGAGACCCAATTCCCCCCCCCCCCATCAACATGCTAGGGAAATTAAATGCAAGACTACCTCAGGAGGGTACCAGCACCCTTGGAGAATCTCTCGCTGAGCATTCATGACCAAGTTAATCCACGCCTGAGCGTGGGTACCCCGCTTATTCTGTGGGGCAAAATTCCGTTCGAGACTAAACCTGCTCGGGGCAAACGGAGCAATAAGTCAAAGGCACCGCCTGCCACGCTATCTGTGATTTTCTGCAACATCAGGGGATTTCATTCAAGCCTTAACGCCGTCAACTACCATCTGTAAACGGCGAAGCCGAGCCTTGCTCTTTCTAACCGAGACACAGATATCCTCTCCAGCTGATACTTCGTATCTCTTCTACCCGAGAATACCCTAGAACACTCCTTTGTGGCCCGGGCTCGAGTTTGCGTGTACCTCAGAGAGGACATCTGTTTTTTACGCCTCGGCAGCCTAGAAGGTACGGACCTGTCCATGTCATGGCTGCGCGTAGATAGCGACGACCATCCCAGCTTCTACGGCGGCCTCAATAGGTCCCATGACGGTAATGCCGACACAAACCGACTCATCGACCACGTGCAAATAGCTGCAGACTCCTTGCTACAACAGGTCCCATCCGCAAAGATGGCAATGCTTGGTGATTTTAACGTCCACCACGCTGAATGGCTTCGTTCTCATTTAACCGCTCATGCGGGTAATCTGTTTATAACTTTGCTTTGGCATATGGTTTGGTTCACACAACTGGTTACCTCGCCTACGCGGATTCCAGATGTAGAAGATCATGTACCTTCCCTGTTGGACCTTCTGCTGACCTCTCATCCGGACGGATATCAGGTCTCCGTCGAGGCCCCTCTTGGTTCCTCGGACCATTGTCTCTTCCGGAGTATGGTGCCACTCACGCTCCCATCATTATAGGTCAGCCGATTGGGACGTGATCGATATTTTTTGCATCCCATCCTTGGAGGCGGGTTTGCTTCTCGCCGGATGATCCCAGCGTTGTTGCTGATTCTGTCGCTGATGTGGTGCTACATGGAATGGAACTTTTTATTCCATCATCTGTGGTACCTATCGGAGGCAGAACCCAGCCATGGTTTGGTCGCTCCTGCAAAATAGCATAATGTTATAAGCAAGAGTGCTACCAGACCTGGGCTCGCGCATCGGCGTTTCAGGATGCAAATACCAGTGCTCTTAAAAAGAAGTATAATTCTGTCTCCAGGTCCTTCAAAAGTGTCATTGTCAAGGTAAAGTCAGAGCACATCGGCAGAATTGGCGAGAAACTAGTTCTCTCTCTAGTCTTTCTTCGGAAACACGTGCATTGTGATCTCTCGCCAAAGTTATCCAAGGGAACTTCTGTCAGCCATCTCTCCCATCTCTGCACAGGGAGGACGACTCACTGGTCCATACTGCAAAGGACAAAGCTGATCTGCTGGGCTCTCTCTTTGCGTCCAACTCGACTCTTGACGATTGGGGGAACACCATGCAGGATGTGCTGTCTACCCAAAACTCGGTGCGCAAAGCACTCTTCTCCCTGGACGTCAACAAGTCGAGTGGGCCTGAAGCGTCCCTTCTATTATGCTGAAGATGTGTGCTCAAAAGTTGGCACCGGTTTTTCCATCTTTTCCGGTACTCCTACTCCCTAGGCATTGTCAAACAGTTAAGTCAGTCGAATAGCATGATAAGTCATGCCACCTAACTCTCTCCAGTAGTGTAGTTTTTATTGAGTTGTCGGTCATAATCTGTCGTTGAAACAGTGAACTTCACGAGATGGTTTGACAGATGGCCCTTTTTGACATCGAACTCTAGGAATATGATGAACAGACGTAGGGTGCGCTTTGAGAGATAATGGAAACGAGATCGCTAATTCAATTAAACAAGATCCTCCTCACTTATCGCTAACTACACTTTTAGGTTACGTAAAAAGTAGTTTTAGGTTATGGTAAAAGGTAGTTGTTATTCTAACCTCAAAAGCAGTTTTACGTTATTATAAAAAATCGAGGCTATTTAGATATTATTTTTAAGATAGCAACAAACCAATCTAACTATAGTTTGTTTTGGAATATGAAAATAAGTTCTACAGAAATTTGGCCAACCTTCTTTAACTATTTAATCTCTCTGTTTGCTATGACACGTCATGGGTATTTTAATAAAAACCATAACACAAATTGTTTCACAAAACAACAATGCGTTTTGAGCTGGATTTTTTCCCCAATGAGAGTTATCATTCTTTGTGCTAGACATATATATTGAATAATATATTCAAGTTGAAATATAGGTGGGTGCACTAGTAATAAAGCAAATAAGAAACATTTTGAAACAAATTTTGATGATGTTGAACTCCATTGTTGCAACAATCATTGCAAAAAATCATCATACTCTTTATCTACCATATAATCATGTGGCTTATTTCGATTTTAATAATAGCTATTAAGTTTATTTTTATATAAAACTGAACGTGGCAACGCCGCAATGTGCATAAGGTGGACCAGATTGTACCGGTAATAGACCAGACACTTTTTCACTATTGGCACAAGCCAATAGAGAAAAAGTAAAAACAATGAATGCTTTTAATAAAGAATATTTTTTTTATTCCTGAACTTAAAGAAGTTTTATAATCAGTAGGTAATCACACAACTTTAAATCAAAGATGTAATTATTAATGCTACAAGGCTCATAATGTTTGTTTTGTTTTTTAGTTACATTTTATTTATGAAAGTTGTAAGAAGAATATTGTATTTTCGGCATGTTTCTCTCACTTTCGCGCCTTTACTTATCTCGTCTATTGCTTTTATGATATCCTATATTTGAAAAAAGTTCTTTTCGGTGGTGTTGTATCTATAGAAACAGTGCAGATGGTCAATTATTGGAACAAGCCCGTAGTTTAGATATTACTAGTAATAAACCACTGGTCAACAACTGGAACATTGTCAATTTTTGAATAATTTACTATTAAAATTATTGAAGTATCTTAATCTTAATAAAAATAAAAAATGTATTAAAAGGCTTAATCACCAGTTACTGACCAAATGGAATATTACTGGAAAACATTGAAATTGTGTTCCAATGGTTTACCAATGACAATTATTGATTTTAATTAGCATGTTCTAATAAAATATGATGTAATTTTATTGTTATATTCATTATATTATGCAGTTAACTCGAAAATAGGTTACAATAATTTATAAAAACAAAGATTTAATAGGGTTACAATAAACTATCGTTAAATGTGTGCTTAGTAAAATGGCCATTCAGAATGAAGTGACCAATTTTTGTTTCAGATTATGCGTTTTTTCATTAATGTACGTGGCGCATATATCGCTGTTAGTTATGATTACATGATTGGTAGAAGTACGGCAAGGCTACCAAATGTAAAAAATTATGGGAAATTCAAAAGGTTAATATTGAAATGGTCTACTACTGGTACCTGGTGTGGGACTGGCACACCTATTTTTTTATATTAATATTTATTTTCTGGTTTTATGTATACTTGCATAAAATGTTAACATAATATTCTAAAAGTTTCAAAAATTACTTTTTAAATTACTTATAACTTTTTTTTGTAATTTTATTTTTTACTTCATGTATAAATTTCAATTTAAGTTAGGTTAATGTTGGATTTTTATATCATTAATTTACCACTCACCATGATTTCCTCTTATATCTAGCCAGACTGTTTTTCCAGTAACTCCAGACTCCTTAATAATATTATGGTAATATATCCATTCTCTTTTTACTTGGGAACTACCCATATTATCTTTTGTTTTAGCATCTGTGAGATCTCCTGTTGCCAGAACAACCATGGGATTAATACTTTTAACAGTATTATCACAAAACTGTTGAAATTGTGATATTCTTCCAGGATCACGAAATATGCTTAAATGTATATCAGAAATCTAAAAAGGATATTACAAAATTCAATCACATTTTGGCAATTAACATAATGATATCAAATAAAATTTATTTCTAAAACATAGGTAAAAAGTTAAGTTAAATGAACGAATAACTTAAAATTGTATGAGATAACTTACGGGTGGAGCAGAATGCAGGCCTTAGTTTCAAAAAATCACAGAAGAGCTCCCAGTTTAAGTTAAGGGGTGGGGCAAGTGCTGTTAGGTCGGAGGAATAATACCGTTTCCAGTGGTCACTATGCAGGGTTCAGGTGAGCATCGGGGTTTTGTAGTAGAGACATTCATTAAAACCGAGGAAAACGTTGAGGCTAATCAGAGGGCTTTTTTGATCTAGTTTGGGTTAATTCATAATGATAGCGTTCCTTATCCTAAAACCATTCGAAAATGGATTAGTAACGTAGCGCCGACAGGATCTGCAGTTCCTACAAAACCAGTACCAGTTTAGGAACTGCAGATCCTGTCGGCTTTATTTTTTTGGATCTGAAAAATAAACCGTTACCATGACTTCGGCTTCCTATAATGAGATGTTGGAGAACCGAAATGGTCCCAAATAGGTAAAGTATGGCAAGGAAGGAGTAAGGAAAGTATGACACAGAAGCCTTCTGGTTTCAACAAGATGGAGCCACTAGCCATCATTCATGCAAAATTTTAAAAGAGCTCTTTCCCTTTCGCCTGATCTCTTTGCAGGGGGTATTGCATGGCCTCCTTGATTTGACCCCATGTGACTTTTTTCTTTGGAGTTTTGTCGAAGCTGAGGTACACAAATTTCGACCTCAAACCCTTGAAGCTCTAAAAGAAGCAATTGAGGATATTATCACTGGAATTCCTCAAGATATGCTGGGAAAAGTGGCTAGAAACTTCTTTGAAAAGCTCAGTATGCGTATTGCTCGCCAAGGCCGCCCACTTAGACAATGTGATAATCAAAAAATTATGGAAATAAAACGGTATCATGTGTACTTTCAACAATAAAAACCCCTTTTTTATGTATCTTAAAGCTTTTTTTTGTTATCAATTCACTCTTCAAATTGGGGACTGCATTCTGCCCCACCCTGATATTGAAAGTTGCAACTTTTCACCACTGCATTCATAACTGTATGTTTGGCTTGTTTGCTAGAAAGCAGCAATGTGTAGAGAAGTTATTTGGTTTATTTGTACAAATAATGGTTCAACTTTAGATCAACTATCCAAAATTAGCACTTTCAAATGACTATTTTTCAAAAAAAAAATATTTAATACTTTGTTTGTTACTATTAGTTGTATTGTTGCAATAATTATTAAAAATATAAAGTTTATGGAAAAAAAATTATTATAATTAAAAATATTTCTTAATTACTAATTTGAACTGGCTAATACTCTGTAATACTTGGGAAACCACAAGATGTACTCTAATATGAACAGTTGTGATTAAATGTAATATAAGCAGGGATGCGCAGCGTTGTAGGCAACTGCAACATTTATGCTAAGCTAGAGCCCATTCATTACAATACTATGTAATTTTGCTTATTTCTGTATGTACTGCTCACTGTAACTTTATTGGTGGTAATGTTTTATTATTATTATTATAAAAAAAAGATCTACTTTTTTAATTAAAAAGTCAAAATTTTTTGAGTTTGGGGAAGCATAGTTTTTGAGAAATTTAAAAACAATGATTTCCTCATTTAACATGTTGCTTTTTGTTTGAGCAAGTTGTGTTTGGGTTTTATTTATTACTTTTGTACCTTTCATTTAAAAATAAAAATAACTGATTTTGCCAGAAAAACTAATATTGATCAACAAAACCAGTCAAACATATTTTGTCAAAGGAAAATTAGGCAAATGTAGTATAGTGATCAATTTTGGCCTACTTTGAGGGCCTTAACTATACATAATTTTTTTCCTCGTAGGTGAGGTAAGTAAGTTATTAGAATAGTCTAAGAAGTTATTAGCGTTTATGGCAGTGCCTTGTAATCTGTAATTGTAGGTTGTATAATGCCTTTAACATGTAGGTTGAATCAAGTTGCATTATGAATCTGCCACGGGGGAGGTGACCTTTGTGAATACGTAGATAAAACAGGTTGCAATTAGTTCACACCACCACAAATCTAGCTGGGCTCATATCATCTCAGTTTAAATGTGACTATGGAAGTGGCCTAGCTGGCAGTCATGTTTTACTGTTTAGATATTCATTGTGCATCACATGACCTTTTTTATATTATATTCTATATGTAATTTGTCAGATTACAAGGTACTGTTTTTAAAAATATTCTGGACTACCAGGAAGCTGTGGCAGTATTCTAGAGTCCGACAAATTTGATAATCCGACACCACCTAGCAAAACGTTTGTCATATTACCGCGGGTCAACTCTATATCGAAAAAGAAAAGTAATTTCATGTGTAATTTCACCCCCTTTCCCTTGCACGCCGCGAACTTTTCATCTCCCCTCGTACATTTATAATTTCTTAATTGACAAAAATTACCTTAATTAAACTACTTTTAACATGTAACTACTTATAAATAAAACCACTATGGCTTACCTGTAAAAACCAAATAAGGTTATGACCTTTGTCAGTTATTTTATTATATTTTTTACCTAAATAACGTGTATAATTTATTTCTGAATCTTTATCTTCGGTGTAAAAATTATGATCTGTTGCAATTATGTTTAGTAAATTAGCCATGAATATCGACGCTATTAATAATAAACAAACTAAAGAAATTGCAGCCTTAGAAATAACCATCATACAAATTTAAGACGTTTGGCTTAACTTTACTTATTTGACTTTAAAGAACTGCAGTTTTGAAAAAAATCCTATTATGAGAAAGAGAAAAGCCGAAATAAATAAAATTTTTAATTTTTACTCGTTTTTACTCTTACGTCCAAGTAATAGTTTTGTTACTTGTCAATGTCAAATGTCAACATGATTTTCTTACTTGGATGCTTGTCTTTTAATCGATGTTTTCAGTTCATTCATGATCTTTGTTTTTATAATAAAATCTCTTGCTTTTTGGCTGATGCGCCACATTGCGAAGTTTTTGGGAGATTTAGACGACTATTTAACCCAGCGGATGATCGATGACGAAAGTTATTCAAGTTCATAAGGCACCTAAAATGATCAAAATAACTTGAGGTTTTTATCAACTTCAAAACACTTGTTTGGTCACAAACTAATAAGAGTACTTGTTTGGGCGTTTTCTCTAATATTTCACATGCGCAGATACTTAATATACAAAATTGCTTCACTTTTAATAAAATCTGTAAAAAGGAATTGTAAAAGATGGGACTGGAATGTTGATAGGATTCAGAATGAATAGACTTCTGTTTGTGGTTAATATTGCTTAATGTATTTGCTATATATGTTTCAGGGATGTTCAATGCATAGTTTTACAAGCATATTTACAGGGAACACATTGTACAACGATATTTTAGTTGATGAGATGTTTAACTTCTATTTTATAGATAATAAGTAATAACATTTTCGAAATAAAAACTGTAACAAAATTAAGGAATGTGTTTAATTAATGATTAAGAATAGCGTGCTAGTTATGAACAAAGAAATATAATACAATAGCAATTGACGGTGTTCAAGGAAGTATAGATAAGAGGAAAGACTGAACAATAATGAAACTCCAATTAGATATTTGTTAATTGACCTGCACATCTCCGGAACAGCGCATCAAACGGACCGCAGATTCGTGATTAGAGCGTGCCAAAACCTCTTTTTTTCAGGATCCATTGACCCATCATCAAACGATGAGGGCTGAGGAGTGAGCCAGAACTGGTACTAACTAACTACTCGCAAGTTAGCCTCACATAGAGTACTGTTCTCATCTCTGAACCGGGCACACCAGTGCCATTTCCTTCCACTTGACTGAATCCAGCGAAGAGTAGGTCGAATCATCGACGACCGAGTTCGTTCTGATCAGCTCAATTGACTGGCGATACGAATAAATGTTAAATAAATAAACTTCTTAGACAAATTGTTCGGATTAATTCTATACGCCAAATTCCACCAACGCACATCGGAACAAAACTCATGGTACCTTCCAGGCTATCTGGATGCTTGCGGATCCACCATGACTGTGCAATTTACTAGGTGTTTTCTTCCTCGCAAGATTTCTTTGTGGAGTCATCTTCCACCGACGATTTTTCCAAAACGATACGATTTAGAGACCTTCACGAAACGAGCTTACTCCGTTCAAAAGGCCGGAAATGCACCTGGAATTTTCCTGATGTTGCAGAGTTTCATGGGCGATGGTCCGATGATCAACACCAACTATCAGGAAAATTTGATTTAAGGTGGGCGAAACCTAGAAAAATATAATAATCACCTAAATATATTCAAGGACTTGGCAGCTACGACAGAATAGGCCGGTAAGAGGACGCATATTTATATCCTAGAATTGTTGAACCTCTAAATCACAAATCAAGGCACTGCTTGTATGCCATCTATGTATAAAACTTATACGTATCGAATTGTTATGAATTAAGCTATTTCATTCTACTTTATAAATATTAATTTATACTTTAATAGTATTATAAATCTTATTTCTAAATTTAGTTAAGTACATAATTTTGCTGATTTCTTTTATATAAATGTTAAGGATTATTAAATTAAATCATCATAGAAAAAGGTATTTGTTTTTTGTTGCATAACAAAATTAACGTTATATCAAAAGATATTAAAAAATCACATCTCTCTATTCATTTTTTCATACCACAAACTTTTTAAAATCTACTTCCATTCACGCGGTAAAACAAAAACAGGATTAAACAGTCGAGCGGTGATGGCCATGGATGTTAGAGAGAAGGAGAACGATCGCTGTAGAAAATAGTGTCCCAGAAATATGGATAAAATAAGTTAGGTGCTGTAATCGCTAAGGTGTCTCAATAAAAGCGAGCTGTTGTGCGCTAGTTTGAAATGATTATAATATCATTCAAAACAAAAAGAAAATAACGAAATTATTATTATTTATTATTATTATGTATTAATAAATAAATTATCAATTATGTTTTTTTTATAATTTTAATTATTATAAATATTATTAATAATTATAAGTTTTGAGAACGTACTAAGTTGCAAATCTTGTAATTAACCTTAATTTCAACAATTCCTTAAAAGTTCAATAAAGCTTAATTTAGTAAAAGAAACATGATTAATTAAGCAAATAATTATTTTACTTTCTTAAATTTATTTATCATATGAACAAGCATTACACATATTTGTAGTGATAGCATTTAAAAAAAACCACTAAGGTTTATACTTAAGCTATCGAGAGATTACAATTTTATAAAATAATATAGCGTTATGTTGTATTGCAGATACTATAAAAAGGAAAAACAAACAAAAACCATGAAATAAGTACGCAAACAATCAAAAAAAAAATGACTAAATACTGTTGCATGAATAAGTCAACTAGCGCCATCTAGTGTCAGGAACGAGAGCGAGGGGAGCATTGAGAAAATGACATCACAAATCGCTCAACTGACAGTGCCTAGTCGAAACTCGAACGCTCGGTACCTTGCCCGTGTTTACTTGAACATTCTGGATATTTCCTTGCTAATTTAAATATATAGGCGCTGCAAGATGCGATCGAGGCAGTGTTGATTTGGGCGAAACAAGCGAAGCTTCGGAGTGGAATTAAGTGAATTAGTGTGTTTAAATTATTAGTGTTTTAACTTTAATTGTGTAAAGTAAATTAAAGTGTTAATTTAGGTAATTTTATCGGCAATTTTTATTGTCACGAACCTCAAGCTCGTAACAATTGGTGTCAGAAGTGGGATAAAATCATGCCGATTTTACCTAAGGAGGAAACGGAGGGTGTCCGTACCCGAAATCAACGCCAGCAGGAGACGGACCAAAGAAGATTTGGTGGTGCAACGCCGCTGACGTCGGAGGGCCAGCCGCCGGCTGCAGGCCCGTCAGTAGCTCCTCCATCTGCAGCACCCGATTTAGGTGCTCTGATGGTGATGCTGCAGGAACAGGCTCGTCAGCAGGCAGAACAGGTCCGTCAGTTGAAAGAGCAGCTGCAGAGCGGACAAGAGGAACAGGCCCGCCGACAGGAGGAACAGATGCTTCTCATGAAGGACCTTCACGCTACCTTCGGGAAAGAGATAAGGGAGGTGAAAGATAAGGTTGCTCAACATGAAAACCGCCTGTCGGAAGCTGAAACCCGAATTGACCTAGTGAACAATCGGGTTGACAACGTAATGGCTGACATGAGGAAATCACTTGACGAACTCAAACTTGGCGAGGGAACTTCAGTTCCCGTAGTAGCTACTACACCTTCGCTACGTGGGTTCAAGGTGCCACCATTCGACGGGACTTCTTCCTGGTCAGCCTACAAAATCCAGTTCGAGGCTGTTATGAAGGCGAACGGCTGGAATAAAAGTCAGGCCATGACTGCTCTCACACTAGGCCTGCGCGACCAGGCCTTAACAGTTCTGGAAGCTCTCGGTGAGGAAGTGACTTATGAGCAACTCCTTGAGGCATTGGAGGCGAGATATGGCGACGCTCACCTGGAACACGTCTTTCGTGCGCAGCTTAAAGATCGTGTGCAGCGCATCAACGAAAACCTGCAGCAGTGGGCTCTAGAAGTGGAGAAGCTGGTGCGAAAAGCATACCGGTCTGTACCTGCGCTCATTGAAGGGAACCTGGTGCAGACATTCATCGACGGCATCCGCGACCTGGAAGTCAGAGCTGCTGTGAGGCTCGGGCACCACGAGACGCTTAAGGACGCCTTGGCCCATGCACTGGAAGTGGAAGCCGTGCGGCAGGATCATCGTTCCCATCGCGTCAGGGAGGTTGCAGCAGCTACAGTTCGCGACCGCAACAAAGGATACAGCCCAAGGTGCTATGGCTGTGGGGAAAAGGGCCATCTTCGATCCAGCTGCCCTAAGCGAACCCTAGAAAGGGAAATTGAACGATCTCAGGAGGGTAGTGCGGCCAACAGCACCGCCCAGCAGCGGCAGGGAAACGAGTAAAAGCCAGAACTGCGGGGCGGGTGCTGGCTGATGTTAAAAGAGCCCCAAGGATCTCGATCTCACAAACCCATGATGGGAACAGCCTAATCATAAAGGGCGAGATCAACGGAATGCCGTGTAAGCTGACCATAGACACTGGAGCCTCTCGTACGGTTGTTAGTTCCCAACTTATAAGTCAGTTCCTTGGGGACTCCGCATACAACCGAGAACGCCTTAATTTGGTAACAGCCACCGGTCAGCGTATACCCGTCCGTGGAGAGAAGGAGATGGAGTTGAAGCTAGGCAACGTGATCTACCTGCATAATGTCATCGTGGCTGATATAATGGACGACTGCATCTTAGGCCTAGACTTTATGAGGAATAATTGTTGTGAGATCGACGTTAAGCAAGGTGTTTTGAAATGTGGACAGGAGGAACTTTTTATGGAAGGTGCGTTACCAGGGAACGTGTACAGCATCAAGAAGATTGTTCTTCCGCCGAGATCGGAAACGATTGTTCCGGTTAGTCTACCTCGAAACGCTGGGCAAGCTCACCGTTGTGTACTTGTGGAAAGGGTAAACAATGACCTTCCATGGAAAGTAGCTCGAACCTTGGTCAGGACCACTGACATCTCAGGAGTACGTGTGCTGAACCTTTGCGACCGGGAACAGATTATAGAAAAAGGCACACTGGTTGGTACTTGTGAGGAAGTGGATT